AAGATGAATGTCACCTCTTATCTGGACAATGGCTGGGGGGGTGGGGGTGGGGGCTCTGGACTATGCTACGACTTTCCCTTAAAAATTCAATGTTTTTACCGTCCTATATGTAAATGTATAACGTCTGTTTATGTTGCTTTGCTGTGGTAGGTTTTTTTGATGCCTCAAATTGTGCCCTGTCTAGGACACGGTGTGAGAGATCTTTTTTTAATACCGTCTCTCCTCATGTTTTCTTTCCTTTTCTTATCTAAGCAAAATATTATTCTGAATAAGAATAAGAAAGCCACGCTGATTATTTTAGCCGCAGCTTCGTGCACTCCGCCCATCTTCGGACGACTGTATGTACATATTCGCGTTGTATCTCCGTGCAATGCCAATAAAGTTTATTCTGATTCTGATTCTGATATCGCCTGCCAACCCATTGTTGGACAGATTCACACATAAAATTAAAAAAATTCCAAACGGGAATTAAAACCCTGAAAAGTATGATTAATTACATTACCACTGACATGATAATTCAATATCATGTTATCCTCTGGGACTGTGGTGTCGATTGTCATGGTGGCTTTTTCTGTCCCAAACCAATGGTCCTCTATTATTAATACTATTTTCATTACAGGGCTGTGTTATAATTTTTTTGATTGATTCTATTTTTAATCCTTCTAATATAAAAACAAGAGCACAGATTATATATGGTTAATACACCAAAACAAATTAACAAGATAAGTAAAGGAGGGGCTGCATATTGCGCCGCTGATGACATTCCTGTGAATATGTCCCACCAATGGTGAGCCGACGCTTGTTCTATTAGCTTAGCTGCATGTAAAACCTTTCCTTGAGCAATGTAGGTGGACACTGTGAGATCAGACACGTTTGACTTATGCGACTCAATCATTCGTTTCAGCTCCGTAGACCCATTCAATGCGCATTTGAAACGGTCTAGGGAGACTCGCCAGAGTACGTGCAAAGTTTGCCATTGTACCTCTGTTAGTCGAGTGGTGGAACTATAATTAGTTAATTGATAAGTCTGGTTGTTCCAAGTCCACAGATGTACACCATACACACATCCAGAGAAAGGCACCTTAGGTAATTGAGGATGACCCTTAATCGTAGCCATACACAGAGTATGTGGGCCTATCTGCCATAGCATGTCTCTAGCTGGTTCATGAGTTCAATCACACAACACCTCGTCTTTGGTTAAACATGGGTTAACATGACCTGTGTGCAGCATACATACCACTCCTTTATCAGCCGTCCCACATAGTTGCACGTCATAGGTGAGATTTGTCTGTGGCTCAAACCATTCACCCTATATTTTTAAAAACCTATATCCTTGTACAGTTATTACAGGTAAAACATGATACTTGCATATTGTAGTTATTTCACTTACAAGATACTGAACCCAATAATCTTCACACATATATTCAGTACATTCTGTCAATTCAGGTTTTAAGACCACCCAGTGTGTACTTGAAATGTTCTACAGCTTTCTCCACTCATGATGATTTGAGGTGATCACTATCCTCTGGAAGCGTTCTTTCTGCAACTGTGCATGTATGGTTTGCAGGGTACACGTGATTCAGTTCAGCACTTGGGTTATGTTTTGGAGTACTTCTTCGTGTTTGGTTTTCCCATAAATGTTTTGGAAGTCTATGGCGAGACTTATCAAAAAGAATTAGCTACCCCCCCGAATAGAATTGTTCGAGTAGGTTCGGCTTAAGCGTTGTGAGATCAATGTAGATTATGGTACTCAAGGTAGCAATAATATACATTGACTCCGCAAGGATTGCAATTTAATGAATGAACTGCATGTTGGCATGGTCAAAGGCCTCTTAGTCTCTAACTTAACTACACAACAAAATTCATTCTTGCCTGGGGTGTTCGAAAACAATACCAAAAACCAATTAAACGATGTCTCAACATCGACAAGAACAGTGACTAAGCAACCAGTTAAACAACGTTTCAACATCGACAAAAGCAGTGATTAAGCAACTAGGAAACAACGTTTCGGTGCGCCACTCACTCTGAATGTCAGATTTGATCATGTTATCGCATCTGGTAGCATTATCCTAACTGGCGTCACCCCCCTTCGGTCATGGGAGACTGCGAACACGGGTGAGGACGTCGCTC